GTACTTTAATCAGAGGATCCATATTCGGTCTGAATTCGTCGAATCTAAAATTTTAGGATCCATACCTTATAAAACGAATCTAGATCTACAGATTCAGGTGGGGTCCAAGATCCATTGCCATCCCTACTCTAAAGAAAGGGGAAAAATTATCCTAATAGATCTAGAACCTGTAACTTAAGAAAATATGAGAGATTTGGATTCCATAACATAAAAAAAATGAGAGAATAAAAAAGAACACCTTAACTAACATGAGTTGGTTTAAGTGGTAAATAACTTAATATCTCTTAAGTAAGGTTTCGAGTTTGAGTCCTTGTGTATGTAAAAAATTCCTATTGAGAGACTCTCCTACCAAAACTAGATGTGCGACGTGGGTTAATCCAAATTAAAAAATGTAAAACCTTGCATCCGGGAGGAGAAAAAATAACTTAATCAATCGGTCAAATATGTTATACACCTAATTTCAAATTTTTTTTAATGGAAGCAGTTAGTATTATTAAAAAAGTGAAAATATCTGAAATTACAATAAGAGTATAAAACTATCATCGTAAACTAAATACATAATTTGAATTTTTCTTATAACATTGAAACTAGTCACTTTATATCATATAAGGATCATGCATGTAAAAGGTTGAAAAACCCCAACCAAGATATTAAAATAAATACGAATAAAACTGATAGCATCGGCAAAAGAACCACAAAAGAGAATTAAACTATTGAAAGACTACTGAGAACCGCATATCAGAGCCGAGAGTCGTGAGAAACTATCCACATACGCAAAATCACACATCCAAATTCAATCTAAAGGTCCACAGCAGATTGTGATGGTTGATTGATTACTTTGCATCTGTTTTTGCTTTGTTAGCAGATTGGCGTTCTAATTTTCAATTTCTTTTTTGGTTGTCAGGTGTTCGATGGACATGGTGGAAAGCATGCTGCTGACTTTGCTTGCAATCATTTGCCAAGGTTCATTGTTGAGGATGAAGACTTTCCTGGAGAGATTGAGAGGGTTGTTGCTTCAGAATTTCTTCAAACTGATACTGCTTTTGCGGAAGTTTGTTCACTGAATTCATCCCTTGCCTCTGGTGCCACTGCTTTGGTAGCTCTTATTATTGGAAGGTTAGAATTGTCTGCTAAGTGCTAACGGAAATTATTTTTGTTTTAAATACACTTTTATTTAGCTTAACGTGTGTTGCAATAGAATCACTTTAAATGCCTTTAGTTCCAAGGCATTGTCAATTAATTACGTGGTTTGCTAATGTGTCTTAACTGATAAGATCATAAGATCATGGATGTCTGTCTGATTTCACTCTTCCTTTCTCCAGTGATAAAAATGATGTCTATGGTCATGCAGTAGACTAACACAGTATTCAGTGAAAGGCAACAACCATGGTTTCAGTTGAAGATTGCAAGTTGTATTCCGATTTACTTCTTTTATATTCCATATTATTTTTGCATTTTCTTCCTATTATAGTGACAATTTTTAGATGTCTATGAGGACGAGTGTATTGTCTGTGGGATGATATGTGGTGATTAGTGAGCATTAAAACTTGTTGTTCAAAGATTATTGGGTGCGTATAAATCTGCTTAAACAATATGAAAAAGAGTGCTAATTCTTTTTTGTTTGATCCCCTCTCCTTTGGTATAAGTCTTCTGTCGGATTTTAATTTTAATATCCAGGTTAACGAACGATTATATGATATCAACACTTATTCGTTGACCTACATTCTGATTACAGAATGTTGGTTGTGGCAAATTCTGGAGATTGTCGAGCTGTTCTATGTCGTCGCGGCAAAGCAATTGAAATGTCAAGAGATCACAAACCCATGTGTAATAGAGAGAGAAGGCGCATTGAGGCGTGTGGAGGTTCTGTTTATGATTGTTATCTTAATGGGCAACTTCATATGGCTCGTGCATTAGGGGATTGGCACATGGAAGGAATGAAAGGTCCAGATGGGGGACCGCTAAGTGCAGAGCCTGAGCTTATGACTGCATAGGAAAAGTGGGGATCTGGTCGATGAAGCTTTGAAGAGGAAAAGTGGGGATAACTCGACTGTCATCGTGCTATGCTTTCAATCCAATCCACCCCCGTACTAGAGTGCAAAGGAGCTTATCTGCCGAGGGTTTAAGGGAGTTTCAAAGGTTTTTGGATAGTTTGGGAAACTAAGATGGTGATGGCAAATACTTGCTCAATATTAACCCTTTACGTTCGATGGTAGTTTTAGGTACGGAGAGTTTCAACTGTAACATACGAGGTGGAGAGTCATTCCATTGTTTCCAAAGTAGGAGCTTAAATTAGTTCAACTTCATTTTGCCCATTTGTTAAGGCACTTACTGAGACGGGAGTTAGGTTTATTCTAAAATGCAGGTCTTTTGGCAGAAATGGATGCTTCATTCATTGTCTATTTCTACTTTTGTTTGGTCAGAGGAGCAAAAACATTGTTTTACATGCTTCTGCGTGATGGATTAGACCAGCATTCGTTCATTTATAACAATGTTTTTTGTATTCAGACTCATGTTTTCTATTGACAATTTTTAGTCCTCAAGAGTAATGAATACTAATAAAATCTTCGAACCTCGTTTACCAGCAACATCTTATCATGAATGATTTTGAATATTTGTCTAGTGCATAACCTGCACATAAACTTGTCTAGGTCGCATTTTAAAGGATAACCCGCATGACAAAATTCTTTATAGCTCCGGGAAACATTTATTTTTCACATAACACCTAATTATATAGGAAGCACATATGAGGTATTTGTATCTAATCTGAATTTTGTACCTCTATGTCATCCTCACGACATCACGTGAGAAAATAGGTGTGTGAAAATTCAACTGCTTTTTGGAAGCTTCGCAGAGGTCAAAAGCAAAGAAGCTTCGTTTTGGTAGGATGAGGACACATTCTTAACCTAAATTAACCTAAACCAAGCGAACCCCACCTCATCTCTCTCCTTTTATGGTCAAAAAGATAATTTTATTTGTCAACATATATTAATGCTTCAAAAAGATAATTTTATATGTCAGCATATATTAATGCTTTTCGAAGAATATTGTTATTCGTTCATATATAAGTAATATTTTTTTATAGTGTTCATAGATTGTTTTGAATCTAAAAATTAAGTTCCACATCTATTAAAACAATTCCTGCAAAATTAGTTATTCGTATGATTTAATAATTGTGTAATACAACACAATCTTTGTGCTCCTAAACATTTTTCATAATATAGATTATAATACAGACTATACGTGAATGCAATATTTTTTTTATTAATCTGGTATGTTTAGTCTGAATAGTACGTTCAAAATCATATCGTCTTTGATATTCGAACCTGAGACTTATAAAAATAACAACTATTCTTGAACTGTTGAGATAGTTCAATTGTGCATACCTGAATAGAGTATTAAATATAATCATGGAATTAGATAAATATAGATTATGATTATATTTAAGGATAATATTAGAATTAGTTGTTATGTCTCACCGAATGAGAAACGGCGATATATATATTTGACGATTCGTAATAAACGGCCATTTCAGCTAACCAGTACATTGCATCTTTTAATTGCACCGAAAAGGATAGATTCGAGAAAAATAAGAAAAATGGCCAATCTTTGAGACTGATTGAAGTATGGTAGTGAATGGGTTAAGAATAGCGTAAAGATGCGGAGGTTAAAAATATTTTTACTGGAATTTATAAGTTTTTTTTTATTAAGATAAGGTGATTACAAAATAATATTTGTTTTAAATATTCTTAAACTCTCAATCATTTGACAATGAATGCTCTATCACTCTGTTGTAGCTGCTGATGCTCGAACTCGTATTCAAGAAATAACAACGATTCTTTTAACCACTAAAATAAGTTAATTCCTACTTGAAATTTATAACCTAATAATGGAAGACGGATAATTTTACATTATTTGATAATATATAATTAAAAGTATGTTATTTCATTAAATAATAAGATTGAGACTCAATACATAAAAAAATTTATTCATATAATTCAATTTATGTCCGTGTTCATATTAACACATATATAAGATAAATAAATAATGGCTCTAATTTTTTATTTTACATAAAAATAAAAAAGTAGTATATCTTTCTTACTTTTCTTTTTTTATATCTCCCAACTTTTCAATTAGTTCTACTTTTCAGTTATTTTCTTATCAATTTCTTTTGTGGCTTGCATTCACGGTTTAAATGCACGAAGGAAGATGGATCGAAGGATCGAGTGAAGGTAGTCGTATTCTAAAATTTAAAATTATTATATATTTTAATCTATTTTTTCTTGTTAAAATTTTATAAATTCGTCTATTTTTAAAATTTTAAAAGTTTATCCCCTCCTATATTGACATAAATCATATGTTGGTCCCTGTATATAAATGTTAAAATGATGAATTAGAGGTAACACTTGCACCGTGATTATATCGATTAAAACAAAAACAATTCTTTTACAAAGTAATAATACTATTTATCTCGTCAATCCATATTAACATTTTTTTAATAATAATATACTTCAACGTCATAAATTAGAAATAATAATATAATGAATTAGATTTTAAATTAAAATAAATTAAGAGAGGATATGCGTATAAAATTTAAGTAACATAATACTATGTAGCAAAAATTTTAAATTTCTAGAACCTCATCCTCATCATAAAATATTATAAGATGGAGAATAGCTAAAGGAGTTGGATAGTAATGGTGTCTTGGCCTCCACTTGATTAAATGGAGAAATTGCACTTTTTTGAAGCTTTTTTTTTTCACTTTGACCCATACAACTTTATAATTTTAATTTGGTCACCCCAATAATACGAACTCCCTGGCTTCACCTTGCTTACATGTTTCTTTATAAAATCACCCTCTTATCCTACGTAAAATGTCAAATTCTTTTTCCCATTTTTCTAAAAAAATTATTGAAAAAATTAAAGGTAAAATAAGTACCATTAATTAAACCAGATATAATTCATGTCGACAAATACAACTACTATTATAAGAGGGGAAAATCCAGAAGAGTGAGATCCATGAAACGAGTACCGTACGGCAATCTTCAAAACTTCAGACCCTGCCACAGAAAAGTATACCAGTACATGAGTTTCAAAGCAAGCAATTATATATTTATTTACATATGCACGTAAATCTGGATCAAGAAATATTTTTCACGGTAATTACACATTTATTAACTACATATAATTTTTAAATATAATAAATACAAATAAAATTTTAGAACAGATATCATCCGTAAAATAAATAATTATTTAAAAAAAACTCCGATTTTATGATGGGCACTAAAAATTTTAGAACAAATATTATCAAAAAAATAATTAACTAATAAAATAATTTCAAATTTTAAAGTGGGAAGGTGGCCACCCTCACCCAGCTGTGGGTTCGGCCACTGCACGAAATTAATTGCAAGTTAATTTTGTAAGGAAAACGTACTAAAGGGTCATATAGTAGTGTTCATACTGTTGGTATTCGATGTTAATGGATGAAGCAGAGGGGTTTGCAATGGCGCCGAAAGCAGTGGTGGAAAGAACAATCGTAGCACCGCTAGCAGAAGGCCTAGACACCGATGTGTCGGCTTGATCTACGATCTTAATTTGTATAGTTTCACTTGGATTGCAAGTTCCGGGGATAGCCGCACTGATGCACCTAACCAAGTATTGCCGCCCACATGAAGCGCCGTTGTCCCATATCCCATCCCCGGCAGCCGCAAACAAGTTGTTCGTCGGAAACATGGAGGTGTCGCCCCCGAAGCAGGCGGTGGCTGCACCCGAGACAATTAAAAACCTCATAAACACTTCATCGTACTGTGTATATAATATACCTCATAATTAAAGATATCACTTACGAAGATATGGGGGGCTGTAATGAGCAGCCGTGCCGACATCGGCGAAAGACGAATGGAAGAACGTTGTTACCAAGATGAAGATGGTGAAGAGCCATGGATGTAACTGCTTCGACATTTCTCCTGACGATTTCAAAGAAACTGCCGTGGTGGGTTTATTATGAAGAACAAGTTGTAGGCGTAGGATTTCTTTTAAATAAATGGTGATGCTGATTTTGTAGACTTGTTTCTTTCTTTCTTTTTTGACGACGGTTATCTATAACAAAAAGTAAATGTATTATTGCTGCGTACGTTTGAACATGTCAAAACTGGGTGTAAATATAGAACATTCCATAATAAACGTAGCTATCGAAGGAAATAAATAAATAAAAATTATCTTATACTATATTATTTCTATAAAAGGTTTTCATGTATGTATGAAGAATTCTAGAAACGTGTTTATTGTTAGTTAATCAATTTTTATTAATTTGTTCAACTTCTTCTAGTTTTGCCTTTCAACATTAGATTATGAACCCTAAAAGAAGATAAGGGTTATAACAATTATACATAAAAGGTTTAATCCTCGCATAAGTGCCCAAACTATACTTTTTCTGCTAAATAAGTGCATACATTTTTTTGTCCATCCAGGTATCTAACGTTACAAACGTTAGCACTTTAGGTGCCCGAACCATCAACGGCGATAGTTTTCCCCGCTAAGTGACATGTGTTTCAATATGATAATTTTAAATTTTTTATATAAAATTAAAAAATAAATTATATTTTTTATAAAAAGAAAACACATAAATTTCCATATAACCCCTAAACTTTTAAAACCTTCATTTCAATCCCTAAACCCACTCTGACCGTCGCCCTTTGTCGCCGAAGAAGCTCCACCCGAGCTCCCATCCCTCCGGCGACCAAAAGCCCTATGAAATCGTAACCGATTGACGATCGATCGACGTTTTAAATGCTGCGAACTCTAGGATAAAAATAGCGATCCCACACGATTCCAATAGTGAATCATCAACAACTACGACAACATATAACTAGGATAATGGTAAGGACTACGTCGGCGGCAGTGGTCGTGGCAAGAGAGGACGACGGCGGCGGATTAAGTTAGGATTTGAGATTTTGATGTTGTTTTATAATATAAAAAAGTTAGTTTTTTTAATAAATACAATATTTTTTTAACATGTGTCACTTAACGAGGAAAACTAATTCCGTTGGAAGCCTGGGCACCTAAAGTACTAATATTTATAACGTTAGGCATCCGGATGGGCAAAAAATTATAAACTCTTATTTGACACAAAATGTATAGTTTGAGCACTTATTTGGGTACTAAGCCTACATAAAAAAAAATAAGATCCATACATACAAAAAATAATAATTTAAGAAATATGAATCAAATGAAGATTTTAAATAATAATTTTATTTTGATAATATATTATTATCATTTAACATTATCAATAATACAAAAAATTTAATATGACCGCATTAATTATCAATTTATATTTTAATTACTGATTCCAACCAACTCTTAGACGGTAGTGAGAGTGATGTGTGAATATGTATGGCTTCCGGCAACACATGGTCAGCACTCGTCAGCAAACCGCGCCTGTAGTAAACTTCGACGCTGACCGTCTTAAATTTAGCCGGCCATCCGCAAGAACCGCTCTCTACGGCCTTCGCGCTTTTCCCTGTACACACATGAGAGGATTTATATCGAGTGTAAAATGTAATTTCTGTACACCAGAAATGACTGCACAATTCTCAACATTCGACGAAAGTATCTATGTGGGGAATCCTTTTCTATGAGGTAAACCATTGCCGAAGAGCTGCTCAACACCGGACCATCACTGTCTGTATCGGCAGACAAGGGTTTTATATTGATATGACTCCCCTTTTCTGCGTCTTTCGTCGCGTCTTATATTGTGGTGATTTTAAGTATTACAAGTGTGCTTTATATTAATCCTTACCGGAGAGAAGCATGGTTCTATTAAACAGGAGAAATCAGCAAAATGTTGCTACTATTTTTTGAAAGACCATATTCCGAGTAAAAGATTGCACTGTGCAAATTAATTTGTAAGCCTTTAATAAAAAGCCAAAGTACGCATTTCCTTTGAATTTGCGCATTATTCAATTTAGACTCGAATCGATTTCGAGTCACCAACACCTTAAATCACAAACAATAACTCAAATAACTTTCGATTAGTTTTACATGTCGGGTCAATTTTTAAGTGTGGGGATCTTAATTATTAGGAGTACAAGTGTGCTTTATATTAATCCTTATTGGAGAAGAGCATGACTCTATTATAAAGGGGAAATCAGCAGATGTTGCTACTATTTTTTGAAACACCAAATTCTGCCTAAAAGACTGCAGTGTGCAAATTAGTAAGTAAGCCTTTAATAAAAAGCCGAAGTACGCATTTCCTTTGATTTTGCGCGTTATCCTATTATCGTCTAAAAGTAGAAATCCCACATAAATTCATTAAAACCAAAGCTTAGCTACATATTTTTATTGAAGTCATAAAACTTCACTGCTTGACCTGATCGGGATATACTATATATATATAACATAATTATTTAAATTTTATTTATTCATTATTCATTTAAAATTTATGTTCACGAAACAAAATCATTTAAACCCCATTTATTTACCAAAATTTCAAGGAATAAAATCAACCAATTAATTTAGTTCAGAATTTGATCAAATATATTAGATGATAATAACATTATGAAATGATCACAAATTACTTTTGAAAGAAAAAAGAATTCTGGCTAAAGCAAGAATTACAGTCTATTGGGTAATCTAAAGGAAGGCCGATTAGGTCATGGCATAAAGTCAGAACTCAGAACAGGGTTATTTTGGCCCATTAGGGAAGTTTTTTTTTTTTTTTTTTGCAAAATAAGGCACAAACAATTTTATTTTGGGATCTACGTCTTTTTTTACACTGCATGCAACTTGTCACATTGAGATGACAAGTTTCAATAAAAATATTTTTTTATTCAAACTTTTTATCTCGATGTGATAAATTTTAATAAAAAATTTATATTTTATTGAAACTCGCTATCTCGACATGACGAGTTTCATAAACAGTGTATAAATTGTCATTCTTTCTAAAATAAAAACTCGGATACCCTAATGGCCTAAATAAAAAAGCCAGATGCCCTAATGGGCCAGAAAAACCCTCAGAACAGTCCAATAGATCCCTAGCTCTCGGTCCACTATTTTAGAACCCTTATAAGCCCAATAGGCTCTCGATTCTCACTTCAATCCTCACTCTCATTTTATTTTCCGGCGGCCCACCTTTAGTTTACAGGTAAACTTTCTAGGTGTCTCCCTTTTACTTATATTTTTTTTAAATAAATAAATAAATAAATTTTCCAGTTTTTGACTCACAAAGATGTCATGACCCGTTCTGACTGCATCTTCAACATCCCGGGCTGCCTGGTCTTAAACCAAACGCTGTCGTTTCCTCTCCCCACTTGAGTCCACAAAGTTGGCTTCTTATTTTGCTTTTAAGTAATAAATGAGTAAATGATTTGAAGAAAGGCATTTGGGAATTTTCAACTTTGAACTATGGAGGGCTAAAAAGTAAATAAAAGAGAAAACAAAGCTAACTTTTATCATTATAATCCCACGTCATACATCCCCGTCTATAAAACTGCTCACGTGCATGCAACCCAAATTTCCACATTTCTTAAATCTTTCCCAATTTCTTAACTTCACGAGTTAAAATTCATTATGCACGTAATTTATTTATATATTAATTAAAGATTATAAATATAACACATAATGTCTCGTATTAATCATCTTCCTTTTAATAGTATGGAGTGATTAAAAGATTGTATGTGTTTAAAATTTTCTTAATCAATTGACAATGCATCAGGTGTAAATGTTCAAACTTAAAACCTCTAGTTAGAACAACATTTTCTTTTTACCACTAAGATCACTTGATGTATTCCTTATATTAATTATATTGATCATATTTAAACATGTTATTTTATATTCAACAATTAATCTCCATTTATTAAAGTCTAAAGTTATTAAGTTATGTTAATCAGACACAATCGAATTTTTTAATATGGTTTGGTTTGGAGCATTGGTCGTTCATGCATGGAAGCATTCCCCAAAGCAATCCTTTTTGCTTTTTACAGCTTTTCTTTACTCATTCCCCAATAAAATTGTGGGGATTAATTTGACTCTCTCCCCCCCTCCCTATTTTTTTTAATTTTGTGAGTTAATTTGTGTTTGGATGATGGGAAAAGAAAAGAAAAGTGAAAAAGCCATTTGCAGTGCAGAGAAAAGATGGTCAAAAATTTTGAACCTTGAAGACTTCTCTTCTCATCATTCAGCCTCCAACTCTCTTGGGTCATTCTAAGATAAGAATAAGTCGGCTTGGGGTCCCTTTTGTTTTTTTCTCTCTGAGGTTCTTTTAGAGAGTCGTGGGATCGATATTCATGTTGTCTGGTTAGAAATACTGAGTTTGTTCCTCCTTATCCAAATCCGCACTGCTTAAATATGATAAGAGTGGCCTTATTACCAGATCGAACTAGGCTTGACATTTTCATATATTTGTGTTTTCATTTATATTTTGTTATGATTATGTGTTTTCTCGTAGAATTATGGAGAAATTCAGTATCAGGAGGGAGTTGAGAGTATAAAGGGGGGGGGGGAACATGCAGAAAGAAGGGCAAATAAGGAAGTAAATAAAATGATGGAATTATTAATTTGCATGTGCTCATGCACTTGCCACTCATTTACATGCAACTATAAACCCTAAAAAGGAGTTGAGATTGGGGCTTTTTAAATCTTTTTCTTCCCCTTTGGAATCTAAATTCAAATTTCCTTTATCTCTTTTTTCCAATTTTAGTTTATTGTGATTCCATTGTTCAAGGAAAATAAAGTGACAAGAAGAATATGAAAAAGAAAACCCTAAGCCCTCACTGGCCAGACAACCTACTTCCTCAATCCGCCCGGTTCTCAAGGTCTAATCCGCTATATAAATACCCAACCCCCCCCCCATTAAATTAAACCCACGCCATCCTATCTTCTTCATTGTCATCTGCTTTCTCAAGGTTTGCATCCCTCTGCATTTTTAGGTTTTGGGTAGCGTTTTCAGAGCTTCATTATCAAGTTATTGCATGCATCATGCATGGCTGATTATTTATTTGTTTAACTGTGTTTGTAGAGGAGAAAATATGAACAGGCCAGGAGACTGGAATTGCAGGTCGTGCCTGCACCTCAACTTCCAAAGGAGGGATTCATGCCAGCGCTGTGGAGAACCGAGACCCGGTGGCGAGAGAGGCGACTATGGAAGCTTTGGTGGTAGGGGTGGGTCCGGGTCGTCGTTCGGGTTCTCTGGACCCGATGTTAGGCCCGGTGACTGGTATTGCAGTGTGGGCAACTGCGGGGCTCACAACTTCGCCAGCAGATCAAGCTGCTTCAAATGTGGTGCAGCCAAAGATGAACCGTCTGGAGGGTTTGAAGGTGACATCCCACGTTCGAAGGGCTTTGGCTTCGGCAGTGGCAGCTCCAGTCGCTCTAACTGGAAATCTGGAGACTGGATTTGCACCAGGTTCATTTCATTGACACAATATATATATTTATAAATGCATGTTTTTGAACAAAAAGTTGGACGTAAGAATTAATGAATAGTTGTTGACATGGTTGAACATAAGGTTGGGTTGCGATGAGCACAACTTTGCCAGCAGGATGGAATGTTTCAGATGCAATGCGCCAAGGGACTCCACCCACAAATCTTCATACTAATTGATAAAAATGAAAATTTTCATTTTTGGGTATATTCTTCTTCTTCTTCTTTTAGATGTACATTAATCTCCTCGCAAATGAAGATTTTGTCTCTAAATATGAGTCTGGTTTCACTTTCAGGTACTGCTGCAGTCCCAGGAGAGAGATCGATGAGACAAGGCAACCCCAGTTGTTGCATTTTTTCTTCGTTTTGTTTGTTTTTTATGTTATATGTCTAGATGAATCATGTCTGAAGTAGTTAAGCTAATATCAAAGTACGTAGGGCATGCATGTAATGGATGTTATAGTATCATCAGCGATGCTGTATCAGTTTCTTTTGTGCCTCTCTTCTTTTTCTCTTTGATAAGACTGCCTTTTTTTTGTGGGTTTGAAAATGGTCCAAGGAATATTTGATTATTGTGATTTCTGCAAAGGCAAAGCAAAGTTGAAGAGGGTTATTCTTGGACCACAATGGGGATCTTTTTGTTTAAACCAATGCAAGAGAAAAGACTATATCTAGTAATACCCGCTGGTATATAGGAATATTTGTTTCAAATAATTATATCTAGTAATACCTTTCTATTTAATAAAAAAATTATAAATTTTGAATAAAAAATAACATTTTATTATGATGTCAAAATTGGTTTAAAAATCATGGAGAATGGAAATACACACCCAACCAACGTGTTTCATAATTAATTAATCAGGTGCTTAATAATTAATAGGGGTAAAGTATACAAATAGTATTCGACTATAAGATGTTACTTTGTTTAGCATTCGATAATTAAAAGTTATAAAATGATCATTCAACTATAAAACATTATTTTGTTTAGTCTCTCGATTATTAAAAGTTACAAAATGATCACTCGACTATTAATATGTTCTAAACTAGTCATTTTCTATTAAAAAATTGATCGTCGTTTGTGTTTGACGTTAACATGTTGATTGAGATAAAATAGTCGTTTGAAATTTTGGGATAAAGTTTTATCAAATTCCAGTTAACAAGTTAACAGCAAGGTCCGAATGTTGTCAATTTTTTTAATGAAAAAAATAAGTTTGGAACATATGAATAGTATGATGACCATTTTATAACTTTTAATAGTAAGAAGACTTAACAAAGTAGTGATCTATAATTAGAAGACTATCTTGTAATTTGTAATAGTTTGTGACTCAACAAAATAACATTGTCTAGTTGAAAGACCATTTGTCTACTTTACCTTAATTAATATTATCCGACTAGAAAGGATGAAATATTATCTTCAATATATTTTGTACTTTGCAACGTTCAATGTACTAATTGTGAGGAACAATGAAAAATTATATTCAATATGCAGTCTAATTTTCGACAAAATTAATTATCGTTTTATGAATGTTGGATGGGGTTAAATTTTGAATAATTCGAGGAACATGTACACGTTATAAGTGGGAGGGATACGACCCAACTTTTATGGTTTAATTTTTTTTGGATAAGTAAATTATATTTCATCCAAAAGAAATAGCATTAGCTGCTACAAACAACCTGCCTCAACCTAGATCAAGTCCCAATTTGTGTACAAGTATCTATTGCCATCATCAACTCTGTGTGTACTAAGGCTATACATTTTGGTTTTCACCGCTACTTTAATTCTATTTACAATTACCTCACTAGTGCTTGAAAGACCTCGAAACTGCCTGTGGTTGCGTTCTTCCCAAATATAATAAAGGAACCCGATCCAAGCAAGCTTAAGGATTCGACTGCGAAGGGTTTTTCCCTTCAAGTTCTCGATCAACCAATTAAGGCGCTGATCCCAACTGAAATCCACACAGCGAATCCCACATAGCCGTAGAACAACACTCCAAACATCCTTAGCATAAGGGCAGTCAACAAATAGGTGATCACGTGATTCCCTGCCAGAACCACATACCATACATACATCATCAATATCCAAACCAAAACGAGCAAGCTTGTCCTTAGTTGGCAGCCTATCGAGGGTAACCATCCACGCGATAAGGGAAACTTTTGGAATATGAGAAGGGAACCAAATAATCTTGTGCCAGCTCACCTTCTCTTTTCTAATTCGAATACTATCCTATATCCATTTACCATTGATTTGGCTCAAATCGGTACCAGGAACAAGAATCTCCTCGCATCAACTCGAAGTCTCAATAGTTTGCTTAAAATCCAGCTGTAATGAGGCTTACTAACAGCCTCCCAGTAACTTTCTGATTTAAGACAGTAAGCCTTTATCCAAGCTATCCACAATGAACCAGCATTAGCTAGGATATTCCTAATTAGCATCAGGTAGCACGATTTACTCCATAGACCAAGGTCCCTGAGTCCCAGCCCACCCTTAGACTTCAAGGAGCAGATCTGACTCCAGCCTACTCGGGCTCCTCTAGCCGGAGTGTCACACCCTTTCCAGAAAAAATGCATGCAAAGTCTCTCCACTTCCTTAATAATCCCTTTAGGAATGATAAGCTGCCTACACCAAAAATTAAAGATGTTGAATAAAACAGATTTGACTAACTTCAATCCTCCTCCAAAACTAAGTTTTTGCTGGACCATTGCCTCAATTTGTCCTTAATTCTTACTAACAACCTCCCAGTAACTTTTTGATTTAAGACAGTAAGCCTTTATCTAAGCTATCCACAATGAACCAGCATTAGCTAGGATATTCCTAATTAGCATCAGGCGACACGATTTACTCCATAGAGCAAGGTCCTTGAGTCCCAGCCCACCCTCAGACTTCAAGGAGCATATTTGACTTCAGCCTACTCGGGCTCCTCTAGCCGGAGTGTCACACCCTTTCCAGAAAAAACGCATGCAAAGTCTCTCCACTTCCTTAATAATCCCTTTAGGAATGATAAGCTGCCTACACCAAAAATTAAAGATGTTGAATAGAACAAATTTGACTAACTGCAATCTTCCTCCAAAACTAAGTTTTTTGCTGGACCATTGCCTCAATTTGTCCTTAATTCTTACTAACAACCTCCCAGTAACTTTTTGATTTAAGACAGTAAGCCTTTATCCAAGCTATCCACAATGAACCAGCATTAGCTAAGATATTCCTAATTAGCATCAGGCAACACGATTTACTCCATACAGCAAGGTCCCTGAGTCCCAGCCCACCCTCAGACTTCAAGGAGCATATATGACTCCAGCCTACTCGGGCTCCTCTAGCCGGAGTGTCACACCCTTTCCAGAAAAAACGCATGCAAAGTCTCTCCACTTCCTTAATAATCCCTTTAGGAATGATAAGCTGCCTACACCAAAAATTAAAGATGCTGAATATAACAGATTTGACTAACTGCAACCTTCCTCCAAAACTAAGTTTTTTGCTGGACCATTGCCTCAATTTGTCCTTAATTCTTACTAACAACCTCCCAGTAACTTTCTGATTTAAGACAGTAAGCCTTTATCCAAGCTATCCACAATGAACCAGCATTAGCTAGGATATTCCTAATTAGCATCAGGCAACACGATTTACTCCATAGAGCAAGGTCCCTGAGTCCCAGCCCACCCTCAGACTTCAAGGAGCATATGTGACTCCAGCCTACTCGGGCTCCTCTAGCCGGAGTGTCACACCCTTTCCAGAAAAAACGCATGCAAAATCTATCCACTTCCTTAATAATCCCTTTAAGAATGATAAGCTGCCTACACCAAAAATTAAAGATGCTGAATAGAACATATTTGACTAACTGCAATCTTCCTCCAAAACTAAGTTTTATGGTTTAATTATATCTTAAGCTATCGATATTTTTGAAATATTAAAGCTAAGCTTGAATTATTCAATTATTTTTGAAGGTCATTGATATTAATGAAATTAAATTTTGATTCTATTTTTTGATTTAATTATTTTTAAAATATTTTAATTTTAAAACTAATGAAATTAAATCTAAATTCTTTAAATTTTATAAAATAATTATTTTAGGACCATGTTAATTAGTTTGAAAATTAACTTAACCTCACTCATAGTTCAACTTAGTTTCCTCCAAGGACAAAGCCATGTAGACCCTTGTGGGGGCACTGCCCCTCTCAGATTTTTTTAACCATTAAAAAAATATAGGGATAATTACCTATTTGTGCCTTTAAATTTTGATTTATTTTGATATTACTCCTTAAGTTTTTATTATTAATTATACTTTGTCCTCTTGAACTAAAATTCTCGCTTCGACCTGGTTTTGTCCCAAAGTAATCAAACTTGTACATGTAAGAATGCTTAATGAATAATTTACATAGGACTCCAAATACTTAGGTGTAATAAAAGGGTGGAAAAGTCTGTAGTTATATACATACACAGGTTAAAATGATTTTTATTTAATTAATATAATGATTCTAAATTTAATAAAATAATTATCTATAAATAAATTGAGAAAATACATTGGTCAAAAAGTAGGCATGCAAGTCATTAGTGTGTGTCTGCTGCTACAATCCATGATTTAGCTTTTAGTAAGATTCTTTGTTTCACTTTAAGGCTTTAAGCTTAGCTTTACGTTACTTCACTCCCCGTTCCTCATTTGCTTTGTACTTCCGATTGCACAATCTTGTCAAGTTTTCTCTATTGGCGTTTAGCCATCAACATTGAAAGTCATTTAATAACTATTTTTTCCAAAAAAAAAAAACTTTTTAAATTTAATATATTATCTTTACAGAATTTACACTTTCCTTTTTCTTATAAACATATCACCTTTTTTATAAGTTTATAATATAAAAATATTTTGTAAGTTTAGTTAAATTGACGTACGAACTCTTTTTTTTTTCTGTTAAATTGATCTCTAGATTTAATAATTTTAATCAAACTATGTTTTAGTGACCCTTTTTTAGATCAAAATAGTTTTTAAATTTAATAAATTTGTTTAAATTAATTCTTAAACGTTTTATAATATCAAATTATAACATGTTATAAAAATTGCCAATTTAATTAAATTTTTTAAACGCATGAACCAATTTCATTCAACTTTTTAAGATCGTAGAGGAATTTAACTTAAAAAAATCGAAGGTCAATTTGACTAATTTTGTAGGTCATTTTGCATTTTAAACAGTTTTTATAAATTAGTTTTTAATTATAAATATTCATATAATTTTTTTTAACGTGGACAGCCGGAATTTTATTAAAGCAACAGCAAGTCCATCAATTGTCCCAAAACAAGATAATATGAAAGAGAAAACTAAAACACGAAAAAAAAGAGAGAGTAAATCGGCTATACATCTTCCCTGCTCAAGGAAATCAATGAACTATGACAATAAATCCATATTACACGTTTCTAAAATTGCTAATAAATCTGTAGTAACAAATTTATTCAAGAGCGAGTGAACAATCCACAGATCATAGCTGTAATGAGTAAAGTGAAAATGGAGATGGCGTGTTGAATTGGAGAAGAAGATTGCCGACAGTCTTTTTTCAGCCTTCACATTACTTACATTTTTAATCTAAATCTCTTCTCTCTCAATCTGTGAAAGAAAGAACAAATAACCATGGAAGCATGTGCAGGAATGGTGGCTGGTTCGAATTCGCCATGATTCTGATGGTGGGGTTTGTCTCTTAAACTTGCCCATTTCTCATTTCATTATTTACTTTGATTTTTGTCCTGATATATTTGATTTGCATTGTGGCGTTTAGATCTGAGCTTGTTATCATGGAAAGTAACTTCTCAGCTTAAAAGCATCATCCTCGATATCGATATTGGGTAGTCCTCCTTAGGATCTAAATGTTAGTAGGGATTGGTTGTCTCAAGAACTGAATGACTGGGTAGTGAGCACAATCGGATCTTTGATATTCGGGTCTGATTTAACCTAGAATCTTATCCGTAGAATCCAGTCTTTTGAAGCTCTTCATTTAATACTTTGTCTTATTTAAGGTGGATGATTTTTTGTGGCTCCTTGTTTTGTATTTAAGACTGTTAAGAAACTAGATTGAGCTTCAATATAAAACACACATTGAATTCTTTCTCATTGCTTTCAGTGCATCAGCGTTTTTATAGCAGCTCATAGAAGCTTAGCACAAGTCTAGAGGCTTTACAACTAACTCAACTAACTACTAACAGTTCTAACTCCCTTAACTAATCCTTAACTGCTTAACTATTTTAATATTCTCTCTACTTTCTCCTCCTCCTTCAACAAGGTAAGACATACATCCTTCCGTTCGACTTGAATCGGAAGTGTCGATACTTCCTTTCGTTCGACTTGAATCGGAAGTGTCGATACTTCCTTCCGTTCGACTTGAATCGGAAGTGCCGATGCTTCCTTCCGTTCGACTTGAATCGGAAGTGCAGATGCTTCCTTCCGTTCGACTTGAATCGGAAGTGCCGATTCTTCCTTCCGTTCGACTTGAATCGGAAGTGCCAATGATGCAAACTTTTGATGTGAATGAACATTCAACAAAAAAATTCTAAAAAAAACCTATTCTATAACAACAATGTTTCGCAGCTTAACTACTAACAGTTCTTCATCCTCCTTGCACGTGAACCTTCTGCTTCATATTCGTAGCTCCACTGATCTGTTGAGAAGCATTTGCAGTTGCGGCCAGAGTTAGTCCCCGAGTTTTACCACGATGGCTCGCTGCTCCAACTTCACTCATCATGTTCAGATATCCATTGAACCTAACGGATATGCTCTTGGGCAACATAACCCTCTCAAAATCCACTTCATCTTCCACAGCAGAAATTTCTTCCTTTCCTACACCGTCACCACCGAGACAAAGTCCTCCCAAAGAGTTCACCAACTCAAATGGCGTGGTGTTGTAATCAGAGGATGCAAAGTGGTTCTGGACTGAGGTTTGGATCAATGCACTGAGTTGCTTGTTGAGGCCGCGATTGACTGATCTCAGAGAAGTATTCTCTTGGCGGAGTGATTCGACTTCTTTTGCAACTTCGCAGAAGCGAGCGAGGTAAAGGCTGTGGCAGTTAATCATATCTTGATGTTGTTGCGGGAGGAGATGGGGATCATATAGAGCGAAAAGAGAGGCGGCAACGGCAGAGTTAGCGGCGGTTTCAGCCATGA